CCCCCCCCGGCCAAAGATAACCCTCTATGAGCATGAGTGGATACAGGCTTGATCTCAGCCAAGTACAATACAGACAAGATTAGCATCGCCCATGCACCAATCAAGGAATGATCCTGTATCCTGTACAATTGAAGAATTTTTTTCTTCTTCTTTGAAATCTACTAGACAATTGATAAACATAAAGTTACATATCGTCTTCACAGAATCTTTTGATGTTCCAATTTTAACGGCGGTGTAGTGCTTTATTCCCCTCCTCGAAGATAACCGTCTATTGGGCCAGGCATGAAAAATGCCATGAATGTGTATACAGCAGGCTCGATCATCTCGGTCGACTACTAAGTCGTGTCGTTATAAAGGGGAGTGATGTTTTGGGGAAATAAGTTGGTCCTAAATGACTCCTAATTCATTTTTGTCTAGTGTTGTTGAATGAACAAGTCTGTACGCTTTCTCCTGTGCGAATCTTCTACATCCGAGTTCGTTTTTTTTTCCCCCTCATGAAAAGAAGCCCAGAGTGTTGTAGAGGCCAAGGACTAGACCCACGGTGACTGTTGTCAGCGGGCAGCCAATGGCTGTCCTGACAAGGTAAGGCTACCTCACAACCCATCCTCGTGTCAGTACTTCTAGCGCAACCTCTATCCCTACTATCCTACCTTAATGTGACCGGAACTCAGGACCATCACCCTACCGGTATCGGAGGCAACTTGGACCGAATAGCAGTCCGAGTTCGTTACCATTGACAGAAGTGGATTGGTCTTCTGTTAGTTAAGTGAGAGGAGGACGTTGAAGGTCTGACAGATTCGTTTCGGACATCACAATGATCACATCCTTTTAAATTGGAACATCAAAAGATTCTGCAAAGACGATTTGTTTAGTAACTGTCTAGTGCTTTTTTTTTTTTTTTTTTGAAAAAGGTCCATGTCATGGAACCGTTTTTTTTTTCTTTTTCTTTGATGCATGTGCAGGGGCCATGCTAATCTTGTCTGTATTTCTTTTAGAAATAACTACTACGTGGGAATGCGGTGTCGAGTTTTGAATTCGCAATTTCGCAGGCATAACTGGACACTGCAGGTCCGGGCCGAGGGAACTGCAAAAGAAAACCGCTTTGTGAACTAATACCCGGCGCTCGGAAGTTTGAACGTGGCAACATCAGGCGGCCACTGATTGCTGCTTTTTTTTCTTTTTTTCTTTTTTCCTTTCGTTGTTTTTTTTTTTTGTTTTGTCGTTGCTGTTCATTTCGGAGGAGGCCACGCCTGTGGCTGGGGGAGAGCAAAGCAGATACGCATAGCCGTTCAGCACATCATGACCACAATGCGCGATGCACACAATGCACACAAATGTGCGAAGACCCGAGTAGTAGCACAGCAAAAAGACTGCTGTATCAAACAGCGTCACATTCATCCTGCCATCATCGTTGCACAACACCCAAGAAAACCGCCAAGCTCTCCTGACAAACCCGAAAGAGCAACGCTACGCACTGACTCTCTCTTCGGCGTGAAAGGCGCACCGAAAGGGATTCTAACTGACAGGCCACCAGTTTTTATTGTAACCATCAACCTGATTCACACATCCTACTGCTATGATCCTACTTACAATTCGTCTGTAAACTCTGTCTGCGGCAAACCCCGACATCTGTCCATTCCTAGAAGGCAACGCAGCCTATCTTACCGGCGTACTTCCGAGCCGGAAAAAAAAAAAAGCGGCCTACTGTCAAGCCCCGATATTTGGCATACCGCCCCCAAGGGGTATCCGTCTGCCTAAGAAACCCAAGGTCGGCTTGTTGCGGGGAAAGCCCCAGGTCCCATGGAACCATACATCTCCAACCAGACGATCTCGCAAAATGAAGAACACGGAGAAGTGTAACTCACGAAGCTACTCTGTCCCAAGCAACTCAGCCAAAAACTTCCACATCAGGCCCTTATCACGAGCAAAGGTACACAGAGCTTTTCCAAAATAGTGTTCTCGGTACCTTCTCCTGCGGAGCTCCATTTTCAAAAGCAGGAGAGTATCAATCAATTCCAGTCCAACCGTGGCTGGGCCAGGGCCGAGATGTCTAGGCCGCACCCGTGGGTGAGTCAGGGCTGAGATGTCTAGGCCGCGCCCGTGGCTGGACCATGGCAGAGATGTCTAGGCCATGCCCGTGGCTGGGCCTTGGCCGAGATGTCTAGGCCATGCCCGTGGCTGGCCACAGCAAAAAGGGGTCTCGCCGCATCACAGGGTCATGGCAGAGAGACGTCCAGGCCACACTCAAAAAAGAAAAAGGAAAAAAAAAAGGAGATGCAATGGTCATGAAAGCACCTGTACGGAGGAATAAAAAAAAGAAGAAAAAGAAAAAAAAAGGAAAAGAAAAAAAAAGGAAAAGAAAAAAACGGAAAAAAAAAAGAAAAAAAAGAAAAAGAAAAAAAAGAAAAAAAAAAGAAAAAGAAAAGAAAAGAAAAAGCAGCTACTGGAGCCGATACCGGTACAGGCTCCTGCCCCATCCCACGGAAAACGACCGGTACCGGTCCCGGTACGTCCCATTTTTGCCAATTGTTGAACTGGCAGGACTGTTACCTGTTTTTTTTCGCAGTTTGTAACTGCTCTCCACCCGCACCTGCAGTGTCCTGTTATTTCCGCGAATTCGGAGCAGGGCACCGCATTCCGGTGCAGTTATCTCTTTTTAAAATAAAAAAACCACGCTATGATCTTCTTCTCTCAAAATTTTCCACCTCACACTAGCAATCTTGTCTGTGTTCTTTTCTTTTCTTTTTCCTTTTCCTGTTTTTGAAAGGGGGGGGTACGTGCCGGGCGTTATGTTTTGTTTGTTTCTTTTTTTTTTTTTTTTTTTTTTTTTACAGGTCGCAGAAGTGCTTGAGCGCACCGCCAGGGCAGTCACCCCTAACTTTGAGCAGCAGGGCAACAGCGAAATTGGCGAACAGGAAGACAAAGGTGCAAATTTACGTCTATCTTCCTGATGTTTTCAATTTCCACTTCAAAATTTAAGTCTTGTTGCCTTTCCACAATGACTGATTGCTGACTTGGTGCATAAAAGAGATATACAGGATGCTGGTTCTCCYCCCCCCCCCCCCCCCYCCTCCTCTTCTSMCCCCCTTCATTGGGATGCTAGGCTACCAGAGTGGCCCGGGACCACTTGCCCGGCCGGGCCAACGAAAAAGAAAAAAAAATCTAGGAAGTTTTTTATGCCCGGCCGGGCACCCGGGCGTGCAAAACAAAACAAAAACTTTTTTTTTTTTTTTTTTTTTTTTGTTTTTTTTTTTTTTTTTTTTTTTTTTTTTTTTTTTTTTTTTTTTTGCGCTGGGGCTGCCCGGAACCCTGCCCGGAGGTCATGCCCGGCCGGGCACCCGGGTGTGTATCCGGGCACAAGTTGGGTGCTCGGGCGCCTGGAAAAACAACCTAGACAGAAATCAATTATCTTGTTTTTAATTCCGTAAAGAATTTCGATGTGACCCTGAGGCAAAAGTTGTTCAGTTTTTTTCTTTGTTTTTTTTTTTGTTTGCTAGGACCTTCCCTGGGAAAATAGGGTGACTCGGGCGGCCTGGCTGGTAGCCCAGTTGGGAGGCCTTTTAGGGGTTGATTCCCGACTAGGAGCACAAATAAAAAAATTGGAGATTGGTTACGCATTGCAATGATTGATTGCTAACTTGCTGTGGAAAGGATGTTTTATTATTTCGCCATTTTGGAAATTAATAACTCGCTTTCCGGACTTTACTCGTAAGATAATGAAATAAAAAAAAGTAATAAAAGGACAACATGCCTAGTATCGCACGACGATGGAGGAACACGTGTGTGTGTGTGTGTGTGTGTGTGGAGACGGGGAAGGGGGGGGTGATGGTTCCAAACCTCCAATTGACAAATCGAGTTATTGTATTATTTGCTTCGTCCATATGCCGATAGTATTTTTGTGCATGCCAGATTAAAAGGTGCAAGGAACAAATGAAATATTTTGTGCGCGCCAAATCGAAACCTGACTAGTTGTTGAGGAAAACACCAAAAGTTGTTAAATGTCAGATGACGAGTTGGCAGGCGAATATATTCTCTCTGTGCGTGCTCCGCAAGTTTTTTTTTTTTTTTTTTTTTTCCTGAGCCTCATGGCTCTGGCTCCTACCATTCTGGGGAGCAACGGTCCGGTTCCTTTCCCCCGGGAAGTCAACGAGGAATACATAAAGAGGCTTCACACACGCGCCCCCCCATTATGGCTGGGAGGCCCGAGAAGGATGCTCCGCAAGTTGTAGATGGTCCTTTGTTCCAAACGCCAACATCCGCTCCTATCCCCCCTGCAGAGCATCTTCCTGTGGGCAGCCACGAGACGGTCACCCTGTTTTATGCCCTACAGCCTAGTTTCTCTCTATCTCTCTCCTACTTGATCTAGCCACCGTTATGGCCCAAGGTGCTGACGACAACTTCCGGCAGCTGTGTACAACCACTTTTTCCAAAATAGCACAGTAGTGCTTCTGCGGGGTCATACAAGTGACTATGTGTTGCTGACCTCAACAACTAGACTTTTGTGCCCAATGTTTTGCTTCAGGACTTCCTCTGCCAGGTATTTGCCGAATCCCTTGCCGATGTTTGTACATTCTGCAAGTTCCCTGCCTTTCCGGGGACTTTGCTGCTGACTGGACCGAGCGATAGAAAAGGCCTACTAACTACCGACTTTTTCAGGGTCCACAGGTACCTACCGGAATATGCATCTGTGCCGGCGTAGTGGTATTAAACTCTACCTCGGACATGGAAATATGGTGGGACCAGGAATGGGACTGGAACTGGAACTTGGGACTGGGACAGCAACTGGGACCATGGCGGATATCGGTGAAATCTTTTCACTCCCGCCGGCCTAGCTTCCAGGTCCACCAAGGAAGGCTGTAACTTTCTTGGTGAGTCCCGATGTCCTTTGACTCGGTTTGTTGTGAGATACTATCCTGGGGACAGTCTTATTGAGAGCTCATCTCTTGGGAATCATCCACCGTCACTTTTCATGGTTCACAGTATGTGGGTAGCAGTTGCTGAGCGATAACGTCGTCGGGCAAGAACTTTCTAGACCTGACCCGAATAGAATGGCCGGTAATTATCTCTGCATCTGGACTGAAAGTTTTGCCAAATGCAGCTTTAATGACCGGGCTTTCCATTTGGGTGAAGACGACAGACTTTACCCAGACTAAGTCACTGAATCAATCCGCGATGGCCTACGATGTTTGTTAGCTTGTTCTGTCATCTTTTTCTCTTTTTTTTATTTATTTTAAATTTGGACCATTTCTTGATCTCTGTGTGTCATCCTTGCACAGCGGCCATTCTAATCTTTTCTGTCGTTCCAATTTTAACGGATGTCCCGAAAGCATATATACAGTGGAAACAATCTGCGATGGCCTACGGTGTTTGTTAGCTTGTTGTGTCATCTTTTTCTCTTTTGTTTTTTAATTTTAAATTGGACCATTTCTTGATTTCTGTGTGTCATCTTTGCCCAGCGGCCATGCTAATCTTCTATGTCGTTCCAATTGTAACGGATGTCCCGAAAGACATGTATTCCTGATAATGTTGCTGGTTACTTTCCTGATTTTTTTTTTTTTTTTTAAATTTAATTTCAACCATGTCTCGATTTCTCTGTGTCATCCTTCACAGGGACCTTGCTAACCTTCTCTGTATCACTCCAATTTTAAGGACACTTCCCGGATAAATTTCCTGTTTGTTTACATTTTAATTCGGACCATTTGTGAGGATTGTTTTTGTCCTCGGCAGGGTCATAACGGGCCTCGTTGCAAGCATTGTGGCCGTGCTAAGTGAAGGAGGGCCTGAATTTCAACGAGAGGGGCGGCCGACAGTTACTGGGCGCCAGTTGGTTGAAGGGCCCAGCATGGTATGCAACCGTGACATCCTGGGCCTTCTAGGCTCTTCCAGGCACAACAGGGAAGCAGGCCTTCCGGCCAATCGGAACACAGTGAGGGACGCAGGCCATGTCGTACGTTTGGGTGTGCCTAACTGTTTCGGTCCCAGGTCGCTATCTGAATTGGGCCTGGGTGTCTACTTTGGCCCAATGTGAAGCCACTGGGCACGCAGACGCCAGGCCCAGGATGCCCATACAGGCAAGCACTTTCCATATAGGGAAGTGTGCCCGCCTGCCAGTCATTCATTCTGTCACTTCGTGTACATGCGGCAGCGCTGCCATTCTGGGCATTGGTGAGCCACTAGGAGGGCCTGGGTCAGCGCACGCGGGCGCGGGAGGTGACGAGCGCTGCTTGTGGCAGCGCCATATCTCAGCCATATCCGGGCTGAAGGTAGAGGGAGGTCACTGGGGCATGGCGGTGGTCCTCTGTTGGAGGACAGTATGGGGGTGAGACGAGGAATAGAGAGAGAGAGAGAGAGTGAGAGAGGGGACATACAGACAAGCACTTTCCATATAGGAAAGTGTGCCCGCCTGCCAGTCGTTCATTTTGTCACTTCGTGTACATGCGGCAGCGCTGCCATTCTGGGCGCTGGTGAGCCACTAGGAGGAGGGCCTGGGTTAGCACGCGCGCGCGGGAGGTGACGACTGCTGCTTGTGGCAGCGCCATATCTCAGCCATATCCGGGCTGAAGGTAGAGGGAGGTCAGCCGGGCATGGCGGTGGTCTTCAGTTGGAGGACAGTGTGGGGGTGAGACGAGGAATCGTGAGAGAGAGAGAGAGAGAGAGGGGACATACCTGGTTCATCGTGGAGGTCTGCATGGGCAACGTCTGCACATACTTTGTGTTCTGTTGCAGAAGTCTTCTGGTTGTGTGAGGGGTGAGACGAGGAAGAGAGAGAGAGGGAGTGAGAGAGGGGACATACCTGGTTCATCTTAGAGGTCTGCATGGGCAACATCTGCACATACTTTGTGTTCCGTTGCAGAAGTCTTCTGTTTGTGTGGGGGCTGAGACGAGGAAGAGTGAGAGAGTGAGAGAGGGGACATACCTGGTTCATCATGGAGGTCTTGCATGGGCAACATCTGCACGTACTTTGTGTTCCGTTGCTGAAGTCTTCTGGTTGCGGCATTGTAGTGTAGGCTAGTATAGGAGCTGTGTGATTGTAGTTTGGGCGCCGAGCACCATCTAGGAGAAGCCACATTGGACACATCGTTGATGGCGGTGACATGAGGGCTGACGTTGACAATTGAGTTCATTGCTTTGGTCTCCTTCGGTGTGATATTGGTGCATCTCTGCTTTCTGGACAGCTCTCAACAACCTGGCTTTCAATGTGATGCTGTAATTTGGATTTCTGTCATTCGCTTTCGCTCATTTTCCTGGTCTCATTCCGGGCCATATGTTACTGTCCACGTCCCAAGCAGGCCGCGGGCATATATGTGGACAGTAAGCCATGGTTGAATTCGTGCTCGGGAAGGTACTCACGCAAGGACCTAAACCTTCAGGAGACAATTCAATGCACATTTCTCGATTTCTGCGTGTCATCCTTGCGCAGGGGCCATGCTAATCTTCTCTGTATTATTACAGTTTTAACGGATGTCCCGAAAGACACTTTCCTGATATCTTTTTCATATATCAGTGCAAATTCTTGGTGGTACGGGTGGCATTCTCTACATCTGGTTTGAATTTAGACTGCCTAGGGGTCTGCGTGGTCTCCGCCAACTTTGCAGTTCCGAAAGGTGTTCTAGCAATTTCCATTGATCAAGGTGCAGCAGGATTTCTCTTTACTGTTTTTTTTTTTTTTCATTCATCAGTCCAGCAGGATTTGAACGCAGGTCTGTCTTTTGACGGTTCATGGGTGTACCAACTGAGCTAGGCTCGTTGTATCATTTTGCTCCCCCTCCTTTTCCGCTGTGCATATAATTAGGGCCATGAACCCTTGTTCAGTCCATTCTTGTTTGACTACATGTCTAGAGAACGCAGGTACACTCCTGCAGCATAGTGACAATTGTGGCATACTCTGTACCACACGGGCCCAGCAGGGCCCGACCAGGTAGACT